GGCAGATCAGGAGCTCTCGCGCGGTCCTGAGCGTCCCTGCTCCTCTCCACGCCCCGGACTCTTTATGTCCAATCTCCCGCCCCTACTATTGGGACTGACTGGGGATGGCACCGCAGCCCGCCTGCCCCCTCCTGCCAGCAGGACCGGGGCCGTCTTGCTGGAACGGGATGGCGAATTGGGACACCAGCTGTCTCCGGGGCTCCGGAGCTAGGATGCCACCACCCACAATGGGGTTTTCCACGCTGTCAGCGAGCGCTGGCCGCGCCCCTGGGGAACCTCGGTTGTAAGGCCAGCCGAGTGCGTACAGTCTGAGCACCTGGCTGCCCTACAGGATGGGAATGGGCCTCTGTCCAGTGGTGGGCCCGGTCGTAATGGAAGGCCTTGGATGGGTGAGTCAGGGAAGCTGAGGCTCAAGGACAGGGGAAGGGGATTGAGACAAAGAGCCAGTGGGGGTGTGGACTGTGTTCATTACCAGGTCAGAGCCCCCTGCATGGCTCAGCGATGCTCCCACCAGTTAACAAAGCCTGGAAGGGGTGTGTGTGTGTGTGTGTGTGTGTGTGTGTGTGTGTGTGTGTGTCCCCGTCCGGCAGAGGGCAGCACCTCACGCTCCTCTCGGGCCCTCTAGTGGGCAGCAGGAGAACCGCACTTTGTGGCTTCCTGCTGGTCCGGTGCTCAGTCTGGTTGGGGAGAGGGTGGGAGTTTCATTCAGGGGCGCCTGCTGCCTGTCTGTACCGCTCCTACCCTACCCGAGTGTGTATCGAGGTGTGTTATCAGGCGTCTTTCCTGTCCTATAACCCTGTCTATGTGAAGGGACCTGAACATCCTTTTCTCTTTCCTCCCAGCAATATGGTCAAGCCCCCTCCCTCCCAACACACACAGCAGCCAACAAGATATCCTTCAAGTCTGGGGAGGAGTCCTGTGTGAGAAACAAATGGATAAAAGGCTCTGATTCTAGGTCTGAGACCCTCCATGGGGTCCGGCTGCTCCCCCTGCTGGGCCTTCTTTTAGGTGCCCTGATTTCCCCCGACCACACCTAGCACCTAGGGTTTATGCTTGAGAACTGGAAGATAGAGGTGTAAATAGGGCTGTGTCTTTCTGGGCATCTTGGAAAGGCCCCTCCTAAGGGCAGGATGAGCCCGCAGAGTACTGAGCTAAGTCCGGACCCTGATCATGCAGAGGATCCTTAGAAAACTTGACTCATCGGGGTTAACTTTGCCCTGCACAGCGGATGCGTGGCATGGCTGGCCGCAAACAGTTTTATTCCTGTCTTGAAAAAGTCCCTCCTCCGGTTCCCCTTCTACTGGATATTAGGAGGTCACAATCTCCTCCCAAGGTTGCCTACTAGTCCTTACTGAGAACATTCTCCCTTAAAGTTAGTTTCCCCCTTTCCTCAAAAAGGTCCCCTATTTCCTTGATGGTTGTATTCTTATTCTAAAGTTCCTAGCTGTTGAACTAGCTCTTCCCTTCTTCTGAGTTCCTTTTGTTATGCTAGGCTGCTACTCTCCAGGACTTCCCTTAGTCCTGAAGAGAGACAATGCCAACAAGAGTTATTTCTCATACCTGTATAGGGAGTCCTAAGGAGCTCTGGTAGCGTAGTGGTTACAAAACGGGCTGCGAGCCGCAAGGTCAGCAGTTCGAAACTACCAGCTGTTCTGTGGGAGAAAGATGAGGCTTTCTGCTCCTGTAAAGATTTACAGCCTTGTAACCCTGTACAGGGCTGCTATGAGACAGAACCCACTCTACGGCACATAACAACAACAACATGGGGAGTCCTGGTGTGGTAGGGTAAGCACTGAACTAAAAGGTCGGTTTGAACCACAAGATCAGCTGTTGAAACTCACCAGCTGCTCCACGCAAACCCTATACAGGATCACTATGAGTCAGAATCACTGGTGGATTTGAACTATTGACCTTGCATAACCTGCTATGCTACAAGCCCCTTATAGATGCTAAGAAAGGGCATTTTTCATGTATCAGATTAATTACATCTCATTAAACAATCCTGGTGTGGCTCTGTGGGCTAATGAGCCAGACTGCAAAGTCATTTGAACTACAAGGTCGGTGGTTCAAGCTCACCAGCTGCTCCTTGGAAACCCTATACAGGGTCGCTGTGGGTCAGAACTGACTCGAAGGCAATTAACAACAACTATATTTATGAATTGGGCCTCTAACTGCAAAGTTGGTAATTAGAAGCCACTAGCAACTCCGCAGAAGAAAGATGAGGTTTTCTGCTCCTGGAAAGATTTGCAGCCTCAGAAACCTTATACAAGGTCTCTAGGAGTCAGATCTGATTCAATAGCACTCAGTAGTAACAGAAGTGTGTTTGCCAGAAAACCAACCAAATCTCCCTCAAAAGAGGTGCAGCCCTAATGCTCCTTAGAAGCCAGGATGGCAAGGCTGCCTCACATTCTTTGGACATGTTGTTAGGAGAAACCAGTTACTAGAGAAGGATGTCGTTCTTAGTAAAGTGGAGGGTCCGTGAAAAAGAGCAAGACCTTCAATGAGATGGCTTGACACAGTGGATTCAACAATGGACTCCCACGTCATTATGAGGATGGTGAAGAACTGGGCAGTGTTTCATTCTGTTGTCTCTGTGATCACTGTGAGTCGGAGCCAACTGAAAAGCACATAACAACAAGGACAAGGTATACTGGCAAGATTTTCTTTGACATTCTTTCTTCTACAGAAACTTTGTTGTTTCTGTTGTTGTTGTTGTTGTTGTCAGGTGCCATCAAGTTGGTACTGACTCATAGTGACCTTATGCACAGCAGAACGAAACACTGCCCGGTCCAGGGCCAACCTCACTATGGTTGCCATGCTTGAGCCCATTGATGCTGCCACTTTGCCAATCCATCTCGCTAGGGGTTTAGGGTTATTTTATATAATTCAAAGAAAGAAAGAAACCTACTGATATTTTAATTGATTTACCATCCATGAACCTGATATACTTTTAATTTTTTGTTTTTGTTGTTAAGTGCCTTGGAGTCAGTTCCAACTGAGAGCAACCCTGTATAGGTTTCTGAAGAGCTGCTGGTGAGTTTGAACTGCCAACCTTGCAGTTCAAACTGACTTGGTGGTTCAGTGCTTATCCTACAGGACCACACATACTGTATTTTATGGATTTTAAATAAAATATTATGCTTGACTTATTGGTAAATTAATTCATAAGTATATTTCAGGTAATTTGTCTCACTATTACACATAAAATATTTTCCCTATTACTACTATACATTTTTATAGACAAAGTAGAATAAACCTATTTTTTTGTATTTTTATTTTACTCAGACTTACTAAATTCTCTTACTAATTTTACTAGTATTTAAACTAACTCTTCTTAAGATTTCTAAGTATAAAACAAGATAATCAGCAAAAATTGATCTCTTCTGCTATAATATTTATACTTTTTATTTTATTCATTTCATTGGATTTACTAAAATAGCACACGAAATAAAAGCAACAAGCATGCCTGTCTAAAGACCAAATTCAATGACAATAAGACTGTTACTTGAACACAATATAGCTCTTGAGTTTTGATAAACATTCTCTACCTAAAATGTTGTTAAGTGCCATTGAGTCGATTCTGGCTCATAGAAACCCTGTATAGGGTTTCCAAGGAGCAGCTGGTGAGCTTGAACCGCTGACCTGGCAGTTCAAATGGTTTTGCAGTCTGGCGCATTAATCCACAGCGCCACATCAAGACTCCCTACCTAAATTGGTTCCTTCTATTTCTGCCATTTTTGCCATCCTTTGTTTGTATTGGGACTGGCTACTGAATTTCAGGAAATGCCTCTCTGGTGTCCAGGAATCCAGAGGATTCAGTAACAAAGTGATTCAGTAACTGGTCCTGGAGTGATTTCCTGGTGTGAGCCACCCTTGCATTCCTGGTATAATCCCTGAATAGTTCAGACACTTGACATCTGTTCTGGCCTTACTGACCTTGCTGTGGGGGCCGGCACTGCTGAGAAGGGGTAACCCTTCCCCTTTAAGGCCCAGCACCCCCAGTCATGGCAGAGCTTTGCATCACTCCCTCCTGAAAAGCTGATGCCTCAGGGTTGGCAGGAAGAAACCTGGTGAGAGTGAGCTTATGAGAGGTGAAGTGAAGGTGTCCCACAGGTTTCCTTTCCCAGGGGCCTGTCCCATGCCCACCGTCCTGCCCTGGTGTCCCTTGCCGACACATTTTTCCACTCGAGTCTCATTTGGGATGGAAGGGGCTCAGCAGGGTGGGCACCTGACCATCTGAATGGACCAGATGAAGAGCCCGGGTCTTACTCACACAGCCCTCACCCCAATTGGGCCAGGCAGGGCCTCTGACATCACCATACCTGCCATGTGGGAGCCCCCCAAGCCCACCACTGAGCACTGGCTCAAACTGCCATGGAATTCTCTGGTTTACCCTGTGTCCTGTAGGATCAGATCACTGGTGACCAATCCAGGTGGGTATGTGCAGAGCTAGCCTCTTCTCTGAAGTCCTGGCCCCACAAGGACAGAATGCAGAGTCCATGCGGCCACACAAGGCTGCCCCACAGCATCATCTTCACACAACCCTGCTATTCCACTTACTCCAACCAGAGGGTCCTTGGGGGCTGCAGGCTGAGCTCCCACCTGCCTTTCCCTCCTGGATCTGCTCAATTTGAAGCTTTTGAGGACCTTGTTCATGGGGACTCCTAGTCCTCAGATATGTCCAGCTCTGTCCTCACCCCAACCTTGCTGGGGGCCCTGGGCATATGGGCCTCCTTCGTCTCCTCACCTAGAATTGGCATCCTCACCCCCACGTGGTCACTTGTCACATAAAGAACCGCCTGCTGGTATGGGGTTCATTGTGGCCTCTCCCTGTCCTCCTGAACAAGGCCTGTTTCCAGACTGACAGTGTGTCTGTCCTGGGTCTCCTGACCAGAGAGAACTTAGGAGGGAGGTTCTCACAATAACCCAAAGCCCTTTGTCCTCACACCTCCGAGGTGACTCCCAGGCTGTTCGTGTTCCTGTTTGTGGTTTACATAGTTGTTCCACCTACCAGTGGGGCCAAACATTCAGTTCAAGAGCCACAGGAAGCTGTTGCGCACCTGGACACATAGAAACATCTGCATGTGGGTCACTGCATGAGTGCTCCCAGATCTCACCTCATGGCCCCGAGGGTGGCCTTTACTCCCCACCCCAGTGATGTTCCAGTGATGTCCCACCCCAGAGTTCAGTCTATACCAGGGTCACGGGTCCCTGCTGATTCCCATGTGGGATCTTGGGGTGACAGTTGATTTTTTAGGGAGCAGCCAGGTTGGTCCTAACACTGAATTCAGATTCAGAAAGAACAGCATTGAGGATGTGTCTAACTCCCACTTGGACTGACAGCATTCATGTTTCCAGGGTGTCTTGTATGTTGTTTGTGAGCCTCCATCATGAGTCTGTCTGACAGCTGTAGCCCTTAAATAGATATGGTGAAAGATCCACAGTCAACACCCAATGGAAGCAGCAGGAAAGAAATCAAATGATCTATTGCATTGG